CCCTCCTTCACAAAAGAGTATTGTGTCATCTGCAAATTGCAAATGTGAGAGTGGCACGCTCTCCCTTCCAACTCTCCATCATCTTATTAAGTCCCTGGAGTTTGCTCTAGAAATTAATCTCCCCAAAACCTCTGCGACCATCGTGAATAAGGGGGAAAGAGGATCTCCTTGTCTTATTCCTCTCAAAGCTGGAAAGAAATCTACCACTGTCCCATTTATCAAAATGGAATAATGGCATCTCCTGATACATTCCATCACCCACTTACACCACCTGTCTCCGAACCCAAACTGACCATCACCTCCAACAGGAAGGACCAATCCACCATGTCATAAGCCTTTTCCAAATCCAATTTGCATACCACCCCTTTTTTCTTGGATCTCTTGAACTCCTCCAAACTCTCATTTGCTATCAGTATTTGATCTGTTATTTGCCTCCCTTTCACAAAAGTTCCTTTGTTGTCTGTTATAATTGTTGGGAGCATTTTTCTAATTCTAATGGACAACACCTTAATGATGATCTTATATAGGCTATTAACCAGGCTGGTCGGCCTATTGTCTCTCAGGTGATTTGCATTCCTTTTCTTGGGAACCAAGAATAAAATTCATCAAACACTAGCCTTAGGTCCTCTTTTAATATCTCCCAACAATCCTAATAAAAAGTCGTCGTAAAACCATCAGGGCCTGGTGCCTTTGATCTGTCCATAGAGAACACTGCTTCCTTTATCTCTTTCATCCTTTCTAGCCATTCTCTTTCCTCCAGTTTCAGTGTAGGCCATTCCAATCCTTCAAGCCATACTCTATTGTTTAGGGGTCTTCTAAAAATAGACCTAAAATGATTTGCAAAGGCCCTTGCAATTTCTCTTTGATTGGAAATTATTGCCCCTTCAATCTCCAAACTTGAGATATAATTCCTTCTCCTTCTTCCATTTGCCATTGCATGAAAAAACTTTGTATTTCTATCCCCCTCTCTCAACCACTTACACCTTGACTTTTGTCTCCAACTTATTTCCTCCTGCAGAAGACAGTCCTCTAATTGTTTGCGCAGTTTCCATCTTTGCTCTTTATCCTCTTCTGTAAAACAACCCCTCCCTTCCTTACTATCCAAGGCCTCAATTTGAGCAGTCACCAGTTGTTTCCTTTCCTCCAGTCTTCCAAAATCTAATAGATTCCACTCGTTGATTCTACTTTTCAGATATTGAACTTTTTTATGAAACCTCATTCTACTCCATTTCAGTCTTGGATTACTCTCTATTTCCCTTCTCTTGTTCCATTTTTATGTAAAGCATTAATCTCTTCCTTCATAGCATTTTTCTATTCAGGCACCAAAAGAGCTTCTTCCACATTCTTAGGAATAGGAACACTGTCAATGGAAGAGAGAAAGGCCCGAAAGGAAGGTGAAATGTTCTCATAGGAAACAAAGTGGGAAATGGAGTGTTTAGTGGTGCAAGACCTATCACCTTTCCGGTTGGCAATAGAAAGGTCAAGGTCATCAGCAATAGAGGTATCAATGGCAATAGGGTCAGGAACATCAATGGGAACCAAGGTACCTGGTTGGGTAGAATCCACCCCCGGAGAGTTTGATGTCATTGGTGGTATAGCTTCTAGATGCTCCACAGCTCTTGAACTTGGCTGGCCTTTGTGGCGTCGACAGAAAACATGAAAGGGAGGAGGATCAAGAAGAAGAGGGAGTTGAACTAGTTTTTCCTCATTCCTACACTCCCCCTGAGGAGAAACAAGGAAGAAAGGCTCACTCTCAAAGAAAGAGAGACAGGATCAAAGCATCGATATCCCTTTTGAGTAAAGGAGTACCCCAAGAAGATGCAAGGAATAGCACGATGATCCAATTTTCCACGGGTGGGCGCTAGATTTTGAACAAAGCAATGACAACCAAATACACGAGGAGTAATAGAAAGAATATGAGCCTTAGGAAAAAAGAAGCTGATGTGGGGCTTTGCACTGTAACCAACGAGAGGGTGTACGGTTAATGAGATAGGTAGCACAAAGGACAACCTCAAGCCAAACGTTCCGAGACATTCATATGAATGAGTAAATCCCTGGCCACTTCAAGAAGGTGTCGGTTCTTTCTTTTAGCAACACTATTTTGTTGTGGTGTTCGGGCACATGTGCTACAGTTAAATGATCCACGCAAAGCAAAGAATTCCATGAGATCATTATGAAAATACTCTTTGGCATTATCGGATTGGAAAATTTGGATCTCAGTTTGAAATTGGGTGAAGATCATTCAGTGGAGTAATCATCAATTGTAGCCACTCTCAGATGGGATATATCCATGTGTATCTGGAGTAATCATCAATTGTAGCCACTCTCAGATGGTAATGTAATAGGGCCCCAAACATCAGAATGAATAATATGGAAAGGAAATTCAGATTTATTATTCTTTGAAGAAAAATGAGTTCTACAATGCTTAATCAATTGACAAGTTTGACATGTAAACTCTGACGCTAACACTGACTTAAATAACTCTGGAAACACCAATTTTAAAGACTCAAAAGACAAATGACCAAGACGATTGTGCCATAAATAGACCTGACTTGTACTAGACTGACTTTTAAACTTTGTGACTGTAAGACCAGCCTTATTCTCCAGCATGTAGAGTCCATCTACGATACGTCCTCTACCAATCGTCTTCTTCGAGGCCAAATCCTAGAGCACACAATAAGAAGGGAAAAAGGTCACTAAGGAGTTTAAAGAATTAGTGATACTACTAATAGAGAACAAATTAATAGGGAATTTTGGAACATGTAAAACATTAGTTAGGATGAGGCCAAAGGGAAGAGAAATGGTTCCTTGACCAACTATGGTAGAGTATGAACCATCAGCTATTCTCACCTTGTCTCTTCCAGAGAGGAGGTGGTAGGTCTGGAAATAAGTGGACTTACCAGTCATATGTTTTGATGCTCTAGAATCAATTATCCAAGGAGAGTCAGGGAAAAGAGACGATACATGGAAAGTTGTGACAGCGTTACCTGATGTAGACACAAATGAAGTTGAAGGAGGAGAATCCATCTAATGAATTGTTCTACCATAGAGTTCTAAATGGTTGCGGAAGGAATTAATAATATCCTCCCTCAGTCAGAACCAGAAATGTGTCTCTGAGTCATAATAGTAGTGGGGAGCTGATTCTCCTGAGAAGCCATATTTGTTGTGATGAACTTTCTTGGACCTTGCTGTCCTGACTTCTTATTCATATCTGAACCTTGCTTCTTGTCGACAAGATATGATTTGCGGCAAATTCAGAAAGATATGATTTGCTGCAAATTTACAAAGATTTGATTTGATTGATTACAGATTTGAATAAATTTAGAAAAGATTAGATTTGAATAAAATTAGGAAAGTCATATCCTAGGATTAAGGGAAAGATTTAATCAATCCCTAATTGAGAGAGATTCTAGGAGTAATTGAGATAGATCCTAGGAGTTTTTCTCTCCTATCTTTTCTTATTTAAGTTGTATGCTCAACATGTTTCATCAACACATTATCAATACAAAAGTATTTCTTTTTCTCTCCCTCTTCATTTCTTCTTCTCTTCCTATTTATTTTTCCACATGGTATCAGAGCTTTAGGGTCCGATCATGAATGTTAAGGCTGCCATGGTTGGCTCTGGTTCAGCCTCTTCAAATGCTACCAATGGTGTGACATCTTTGGAGGGAGGTATTCAGTCAACGGCCATCTCTCTCTCTAAGAATTCTCTTCAGATTACCATTCACAAATTGAATGGAAAGAATTATCTTGAGTGGTCTCAATCTGTGCGGTTGGTGATCGACGGCAAAGGGAAACTCAGCTATTTGAATGGCGAAGTAAAACCGCCAGCCACTGATGATCCAAAGTACAGGCAGTGGCGTTCTGAAAATTCTATGGTTACCGCCTGGMTGATCAACTCTATGGATCCTGTGGTTGGAAAACCATTCATGTTCCTGTCGACTGCTCGTGATGTGTGGGAAGCTGTTAGGGAAACCTATTCAGATCTGGACAATCATTCACAACTGTTCTAATTGAATACCCGAATGTGGAAGATGCAGCAAGGTAAGCGTGACGTAACTGCTTATTGTAATGAGATGATGGCTGTTTGGCAGGAGTTGGATTTATTTGAAGAAGAAAAATGGGAAAGTCTGAGTGACAGTGCTCGGTGCAAAAAGAAGATAGAAAGAGGCCGGGTCTTTGTCTTCTTGGCTGGTTTGAACAAAAAACTCGATGAGGTTCGGGGACATATCTTAGGGCGAAAGCCCTTGCCTACTATAAGAGAAGTTTTTTCAGAAGTGCATAGAGAAGAAGCATGGCGGTAAGTGATGTTGAAGAATGTTAATGAAACAAAAACTGAGAATGAAGGGTCTGCTCTTGTGGCCCGAGGTGCAGACGTAGACGGAGATAAACGAGGAGGAAAGCAAAGACCTTGGTGTGATCATTGTAAAAAGCCATGGCATACTCGGGAAACCTGCTAGAAGCTGCACGGGAAACCAGCAAGTTGGAAGAAAAAATCAGACAGTGACAACAAGTCAGGGGGAAATGTCCGCGTGCTTCAAGTAAGCAATTCAGATCCAGGGCAGCAATCATCCTCGGAGTCTCTTCCTTTCACAAAAGAACAAATAGAGCACTTATATAAAATGTTTCAATCTCAATCGTTAAGAAGCTCTAACCCATCCTGCTCTCTAGCCTAGTCAGGTAATTTTTTCATTGCAGCCATTGCTTGTACCAAATCTAATGGCTCCTGGATATTAGATTCAGGTGCCACTGATCATATGACCGACACTTCACAATTCTTCTCTTCATATACACCCTGTGCATGGAATCAAAAGGTTAAAATTGCAAATGGTTCCTTTGCTACTGTTACCGGAAATGGAACTGTGTCTATTTCTCATTCTCTAAATCTTAAAGATGTTCTACATGTTCCTAACCTATCATGCAATCTCTTATCTGTCAGCAAACTAACCCTTGATCATAATTGTCGGGTTAATTTTTGGTCTTCTTATTGTGAATTACAGGATTTAACCTCGGGGAAGATGATTGGGGGTGCTAAACTAGATGGTGGCCTCTACCTCTTTAATAAAGGATCAACCTTTGGAAGGCAAGACCGATAGACTTGTTTCAGCTCTATCTCGGTTTCTAGTGACAGTGAAGTTTTGTTATGGCATTATCGGTTAGGACATCCTAGCTTTCAATATTTAAAGCATCTATTTCCCAAGTTATTCATGAATAAAATTCATTCGTGTTTTAAGTGTGAATCTTGTGAATTAGCAAAACATCATCGTGTTGATTTTCCTTCCCAACCATATAAAAAATCAAAACCATTTACCATGATTCACAGTGATGTTTGGGGTCCTTCTAGAGTAACAATTCTTTCTGGAAAGCGTTGGTTCATTACTTTTATTGATGATCATACTAGGGTCACTTGGGTTTTCCTTTTAAAAGAGAAATCAGATGCTGAAACTATGTTTCAAACTTTCTATAACATGGTTCAAACACAATTTCAAACTCAAACTAAAATTTTTCGAAGTGATAATGGAAAGGAATTTTTTAACAATGTGTTAGGGAATTTTTTTGCTGAGAAAGGAATTGTACACTAAAGTTCGTGTAATAATACACCTCAACAAAATGGGGTGGCTGAAAGGAAAAWCAAACATCTCCTTGAAGTTGCTAGAGCCCTAAGTTTTCAAACTAAGGTTCCTAAGTATCTTTGGGGAGAAGCCGTTTTAACAGCCACTTATTTGATTAACAGACTGCCTACACGAATTTTGGATTTTAAAACACCCATACAGGTTTTCACTGACTGTTTTCCTAACTCTCGGCTAGTGACAAACATTCCCTTTAAAATTTTTGGAAGTGTGGCCTTTATTCATAACCATGATCCTAAACATTCAAAACTTGATCCAAAAGCACATAAATGTATTTTTGTAGGCTATCCCACTAATTAGAGAGATTACAAATGCTTTGATCCAGTTTTGAAAAGGATGTTTGTGACTATGGATGTCACATTCTTTGAAGGAACCTCCTACTACAGACACTCCCATCTTCAGGGGGAGAGCAACACTAGTGAAGATGATCTTTTAGTTGGTTCTGATTTAATGTTTGAATTTGTCCATAATGATGTTCCTCACAACTAGTCACCGAAAGAAAGTAATGCAGAAAATACAAAAGCAGTGGAAACAAATGAATTAAATATTGAAAATGAACAACCTTCGGTGATGCCATCTCAAAATAAAAAAGTTAAAACAACAGAGATGTGTGCAAAACAGTATAAAAGCCTTGTACATTCAAGGGAACATCTAGCACTGAAAAGGAAATGCACTATTCCGCAGCATCAACAAGAATCTGATCTGAGGGTGGATCATGAAATTCATGATAATTCTCCAAAAATACCTAAAAATATTCCTCCAGGTAATTCTAATTCTTGCAGTCAGCTTGATCTTCCCATTGTTCTTAGGAACGGTATTAGGTCTTGTACAAAACATCCTCTGTCAAATTTTGTATCTTAGAAAAATATTTTACCTTCATATTGTGCCTTTATTTCACAAGTGTCTAGTGTTTCTATTCCTAACAGTATCCAGGAGGCTCTAAATGTTCCTGAGTGGAAAGAAGCTGTTTTTGAGGAGATGAGARCTTTGGAAAAGAATGCTACTTGGGAGAAAGTGGATCTGCCGGATGGAAAGACAGTTGTTGGTTGTAAATGGGTGTTCACTYTGAAGTACAACTCAGATGGATCCTTGGAGAGATATAAGGCTCACCTAGTAGCTAAAGGCTTTACTCATATATATGGAGTGGACTACACTGAGACCTTTTCTACAGTGGCGAAACTAAATACAGTTCGAGTACTCTTATCTGTTGCAGCTAACCTTGATTGGCCACTGAATCAGCTGGATGTGAAGAATGCCTGTTTGGGTACTTGTGTCACTACCCCCAAAGTACAACTGTACAAGGTACCTATATGTAATTATCTCTTTAAAGATTCCTAGAAAGAATATGTCGGCAAGATATGATTTGTGGCAAATTAAGAAAGATATGATTTGCTGCAAATTTAGAAAGATTTGATTTGATTGATTACAGATTTAAATAAATTTAGTAAAGATTAGATTTGAATAAAATTAGGAAAGTCATATCCTAGGATTAAGGAAAGATTTAATCAATCCCTAATTGAGAGAGATTTTAGGAGTAATTGAGAGAGATCCTAGGAGTTTGTCTCTCCTATCTTTTCTTATTTAAGTTGTATGCTCAACATGTTTCATCAACACATTATCAATACAGAAGTATTTCTTTTTCTCTCCCTCTTCATTTCTTCTTCTCTTCATCTTTATTTTTCCACACTTCTTTCTCAATTCCTCGGCCCATTTTGGTTTCCCATGAAGATCCTAGCATGTTTCACGGATGTGTCAGGGTTTCTGGCAATGGGTGCACTATAGTTTGTCTTTGTCCTCCACCCTTTTATGAAGGTCCCCCTTCTTAAAAAAAATTCCCCCACTGGTAGTAACATTCCCTTTCGTTGCCAACACAACTGCATTCCCTCCAGAGTTGTTCATTAAATTTCTTCTACTTTCTTCTGACTGTACTAATGCATAAACCTCCTGGACAGATGGAAGATCGTTGTTGCCTAGGATTTGGACTCTGATGGATTCATATAGTGGGTTCAAGCCATGGAGAAATGCAAACACTCTTTGTTGGGAAACAAGTTTCTTGTATGCTTTTGCATTTTCATCACACTTCCAGTCTACACTCTGATAGTGATCTAACTCCTTCCAGACGGAGGTCAAGTCTGAATAGTACGTAAAAAGGTTCCTCTCCCCCTATTTACAAGTGGATGATTCTGCTTGTAACTGATAGATTTTTGCATAGTGATATAGTTCAGAATTGGTCGATTTTGCTTGTCCCCAAATCTCATAAGCCATTTCAGCCCACATAAAGTTCTATCTCACCTGGGGTTGCATAGACACTTAAAGCCAAGACATAACCATGTTGTTTTCCTGGTTCCATCTATCATACTCAGCATTCCCGAAATTTGGTTCTTTAAATCTCCCATTTATATACCCTATCTTCCCCCTTGCAGTAATATATAACTTGATCCCCCTCGACCACTCTAAATAATTTAAGCCATTCAGGGGTATAACAGCCCTAAGGAAGGATAAATCCATACACCCACTTATTCCGTTTTGCATTGAGGAGACACCACTCCCCTCCTTTTCCCTTTTTTAAAGCTCAGTTCTTCAAACAAAATTAGTTTGTTACAGAACTAACAGGTCATCACTGGCCTACCATAAATCAGGTATGGCTGCTGTCGCAGCATGTGCAAGTCCTCTCTTGACTTACAAATCAAGTATGGCTGCTGTCGCAGCATATACAGGTCTTCCCCTGACCTATAAATCCATCAGAAGGCTGCTGTCGCAGCATATAAAGGTCATCACCGACCTATAGCCTATTACAGGGATCAGCTGATCCCACAAAAAAGGAAATAAGGAGGTGCTGCTCACCTCACATCAAATAACTGAACCTATTACAGGTTTTGTTCTGGCACACGACCAGAAAAAAAAATAAAAAGGAGAAAAGGAGAGAGAGTACTTCAGTCTGATGAAGAAAAGAAAACTGGATCTGGATCTTCAACAAATCACACTGTAGCTGGTGAAGGAAGAAGACAGAAAAGAGGTTTGCTCGATCTCTTCTTTTAAATCTGACAGTCCCACTCTAATACCATGTTGTTCAGAAGAGAAGAAGGAAGAAAAGAGAAGAGAGAAAAGAGATTTGGAGTCTCAAAGAGCTGCTGGTGGTGCCAGCTTTTTATTATTTATACTAGGGTGACACAACATAAAATAAAAGATGATGAAAGTACCAAAGTACCCCTGTAGTACTAAACTTACAGAATAACAACCTTTTAACGCTTTCCATTAATATACTCTATTTTCCCCTTGCAGTGATATATAGTTTGTTGAGTGGTCCGGTTTGTTTTTATTTAGTTAGGAAGTTGTTGGGCCTTAGGCCCATTAGTTTATGTTTTTTTTTAAGTTGTGACTGTTCAGCTTTTAGTAGCCGCCCTACTAAGGGCATCCTTGTAATATCTCATCTTTAAGTTAAATATAAATATAATGAGAGGTAGGTGGCTAGGGTTAAC